AACACCAGAGGCTCAGCCTCAAAACTCACGTCTACATGTCACCACAGTAGGACAAACCGACAGACAAGTTTGTCCTGCTGTTGGAGACCTCTCATATCCCCCCCACCTGGGTCCCTGTGGCTGACTGTTCCTCTGTCTGGCTTATATAGTGAATATTACAAACTAATATGAATTGAGGAAGCTTTGGTAGCATAGTGCCTAAGGCACTTGACTGCTAACCAGAAGGCTGGCAGTTCAAATCCACTAGCCACTCCTCGGAAGGAAGATGGGGCAATCTACTTCCATCGTGATACTGCCTTGGAAACCCAAGGAGGGGTCACTATGAGTCAGGTCCAATTCAATGGCACATAATAACAACAACAACAACAATATGAATTGAAAGAAAAAATAACAGATTTCCCTCTCTTTCTCTTTTGTTTTTTTTCTGGGTGAGAGTTTTTGGTTGTTTTTCCTGTAAGTTCAATTTGGAGACTGTTTTATGATTCAGTCATCCTAAATATCATCCAAGATATCTCTGTAATGCACTTGATGCCAAATGAATTGCAGCTTTAATATTGGAAAGGTGAATTGGTAGCCATATTCCTGGACTGTGTTTTCAGTGGTGCTTTTGAGCTGTAAAAATAATCCAGGTGATCTAAACCATAACTGAGAACCATGAAAGAGGTGGGTGTAGGACCTGGGCGGACCCTCCACTATTTTGCTTCTAGTTAAGGCTTGCAGCTCACTCAGGAGGCAGGCCAAAGCTGAATAACTTAGAACTCATGTTCATGGCCTGAATAGCTAGTGCACTTGGAAAATTATGTCTTCTATTAAGTGCTTATATGGATACATCTGGAAATAAAGTTGAAACATAATGATGGAAAAAAACTTTAAAAAAGGACTTTTTTTTTTCTCATGTGACTATTTCTTAGCTACTGAAAGATAATAGAATTATTATGCAATTGGGACTTATGGTTGAACACTTGCAAAAAGGGACTTGGGATAATGAGTAGTTCTTTGAGTGAATCATTGTTAGGACCAATCTCTTTTCTATTTTTATAAATATATAATCCACAGGGTTTTGCAGAGATGTGTAACTCTGTAGGAAGTGTTAGAAAAATTTCAGTATGGCCATGTGTGACATATTTGTAGGAGAAAAATCACAAGTAATTGTAAAAGTGACTCACCAAGTGGTGGTACAAAAAAAAAAAAAAAAAAAGGAACTGGAAGCCACAAGCAGCTATTTTCTAAAGACATTGTACAAAACTCTGACAGATCCAACTTCCCTAAAGTTCTCCTCTCAAGAAATTGTGGAGTTCAGTGAAAAATAAAAATCAAGTGGCATTTGAGAAGGAATGGAGAAGGCAATGAGTTTAATTGACTGTGTAGAAAAACTGCATAAGATTAGATTAGAAAACATTAGATTAGAAAGCATTCATTGATCTAAAAAGAAAGAGGCACATGGGGCAGTGGTCACAGTCTTTAGACTCTTGGCTTTGTGTAAGTTGAACATGGCAGAAAAGTGAGGAGACACTCCTTGAATGCTGAGAGAGATTTTGAAGACATGCAAAAGTGAAAAAAAAATACTAATCTTCAACAGGTAGCAAAATTATAGAATTTTTCTGCCCCAAAGACGGTGGCAGAACATATAAAGGGGATGTCTAAAAGGATCTCTGTGTTTTCTTATTAATGGAGGAAATAAGATTGAGAGAACTGTGATATTGATAGTGCTAATCACTTGGTCCTTGGTCTTAGAACGAGGATGTGGTGGGAAGGCAATAAGATAATGCAAAGCACAAAAACTATGTGTGTGTGTGTGTATGTGTGTGTTTCTAAAGCGATGATCATGAACATGGCTACCAAAACGTAAATGGTGATAGTCTCAGGATAATAGGGTTTCAGGTGATAATTCTTTCCTTCTTTATATTTTTAGTGTGGTCTTTGAATTCTTTAAGCTTACAAGCAGCCATCTAAGATGCAACTACTGGTCTCTCCTTCTCTGGAACTAAGAAGAGTGAAGAAAATGAAAGATACAAGGAAATGATTAGTCTGAAGGACTAACGGACCACATGAACCACAGTCTACACTACCTGGAGACCAGAATTAGATAGTGCCTGGCTACCACTACTGATCACTGTCATCAGGTTCACAATAGAAAGTCCTGTGCAGTGAGGGGGGAAAATGTAGAACAAAATGCAAAAACGTAAAAAACACCAGACTGACTGGTCTGACAGAGACTAGTAGAACACCTGAGACTGACTCCACCCTGAGGGATCCTCTTTCAGCCAAATAGGCCTATAAGTGAATAACAAACCAGGAAGGAATGTACTCCTCATTGCAATGAACCACACTAGAACAAAAGGACAGCATTTACTCAGAAACAAATCTCAGAAGGCAGGAAGGGACAGGAAAGAAAGACAGATGGAAAGGGGAACCCAGGAAGGAAGGGGGAAGAGTGCTGTTACATTGAGAGGATGGCAACCAGTGTCACAAAATGAAATGTGTATGAATTATTGAATGGAAAACTAATAAGCTCTTTAAACTGTCAACCAAACTACATTCTTTTTTCTTTCTTTTTTTTTTTAAAGGAACTTATAAATTATAAAACAATGTTATTTTCCTTCTTTTGTTAAAAAAAAAAAGAAAATTAAGAGTCATTAAAAAATTTCTGTTATTTGTGAACCCTCATCAGAATTTATAAACAAAGAATGCTGTTTGAAGTATTTTGCTCAACTTTGTAGGAGCAGACAACCTGCTCATTGCTGCTCCTAATGTCAGAACTAGAATAGCTTTCCAAGATCCACCTTGGGTCTGCCTCAAGAAGGCATTTCTTGGACTGTTCATTCTTAGCTCAGAAATAAAATACTGGGTAAGGTGACTCACTTTGTACAGTATGGGAATTAGCATGGAATCTTGCTTCCACACCTTCTTTCTCTCTCATCTCTTCTCCTCTAACAGCCAGACATTTAAAATGTAAGTCAAAACTTGAATCCAAACGCATGCCGTAGTTTCCCATCTCATTTTTAATAAAATCCAGAATCCGTACCTATGTAACCTGTGAATCCATACCAGGCTCCTGCTCCTATTGTCCTTTCTTCAGCCACTCTACTCTGGCCACATAGGCCTCTTTGCTGTAGCACCTACATGTCCGCATGATCCTGCTGTGGGCCTAGTTTGTTATTCCCCAGGTAACTCCATGGCTTATTCTTTGCTTCCTGCTAGTTTCTGCTCAAATGTTACCTTATGCAAAAGGATGTGCCTGAGTTTCTTTCTAAACTCTCACCTCTTCTTCCTTTCCTAATCACTATTTTCTTGCACTCAGTTCCAGTTTTCTTCTTAGCACTTATTACCATTTGACATATATGTGTATGTTTTATAGTGACTGTCTCCCTCTATACCTATTAAAAGAAAAAAAAAAGGTGCCCTCTGATTATTACTCATGGCAACCCCATGGGTGTCAGAGTAGAACTGCACCCCACAGGATGTTCAGTGGGCGATTTTTCAGAAGTAGATTAACAGGCCTTTCTTCCAAGATGCTTCTGGGTGGACTCGAACCTTCAGCCTTTGGTTAGCAGCAAGCATAATAACCATTTGCACCATCCAGGGACTCCTCTAGGAGCTCTGGTGGCATAGTGCCTAAGGCACTTGACTGCTAACCAGAAGACTGGCGGTTCAAACCCACCAGCCACTCCTCAGAAGGAAGGTTGGGCAATCCACTTCCATAGTGATACTGCCTTGGAAACCCAAGGAGGGGTCACTATGAGTTGGGGCTGACTCGACGGCACATAACAACAACAACAAGGGACTCCTCTACAGCCATTGTTGTTGTTGTGTGCTGTCGAGTCGGCTTCAACCCATAGTCACATAGTACTGCCAAGGCAGTATCACTACGGAAGTAGATTGCCCAACCTTCCTTCCGAGGAGTGGCTTGTAGGTTTGAACCACCAGCCTTCTGGTTAGCAGTCAAGTGCCTTAGCCACTATGCTACCAGAGTTCCTCTACTGCCATTAGAGATTAATTAAAATGTAATCTCTAAATATAATCATTTAAATGTAATTTATCTCTTTTGTAGGAGCTCTGGTGGCGTAGTGCCTAGGGCATTTGACTGCTAACCAGAAGGCTGGCGGTTCAAACCCACCAGCCATTCCTCAGAAGGAAGGTTGGGCAATCTACTTCCGTAGAGATACTGCCTTGGAAACCCAAGGAGGGGTCAATCTCTTTTGTCATCTAATATGTAGTTGGTACTCAATACATATATGTTGAATGATTTAATTCATATCTCACCCCTCCCTTTGTGTTCTGGTATTTTTGCCTGCAGAGAAGTTGTTACATTCAACCATTTCTTGGAAGCAGCAGCTGAGAAGGAGGTTCAAGGGAAAGCTCGACTCCAGGACTTTATCGAGAATCTGTTGCAACGGGTTGACCTGGCAGAAAAGCAGTTAGAGTACTATCAGTGCCAGCAGGCTGCCGGCCTTTGCCCTGACATCAGTGAGCATGTGGTGAGTCCTGCCACCAAATGTGAGGCCCTTGTGTATGGTGAGACTGAACCAAGAACTGATGAAAATGCTAAGGGAGCTGTGACGTGATTTGTGGGGAATCTGTAGACATCATTTGAAAGCCCTGCCATAGGAGCTCTGGTAGCATAGTGCCTAAGGCACTTGACTGCTAACCAGAAGGCTGGTAGTTCAAACCCACCAGCCACTCCTCAGAAGGAAGGTTGGCAATCTACTTCTGTAGTGATACCGCCTTGGAAACCCAAGGAGGGGTCGCTGCGAGTCAGGTCCAAGACTCGACAGCACTTAAAAACAACAACAAAGTTTGGGCCATACTTATGTTATTGCAGTGATACCAGTGCATCCAAGGTACTTGGACATATGCAGAATTCTGGGTGCACCATCTCTGTTCTTTGTCAGGTTCTTCCTCCAGGCCAAGCTGAATTGGTAGTCATTTTTTGTATTTGTGGAACAAGCCCACTGCCATTGAGTCGATTCAGACTTACAGCGTCCCTACAGGACAGAGTAGCTCTGTCCCATAGGGTTACCAAGGTTGTAAATATTTATGGAAGCATACTGCCTCATCTTTCTTCTGCGGAGCATCTGGTGGGTTGGAACCACTGACCTTTTTTATTAGCAACCAAATACTTTAACTGCTGAGCTACCAGAACTCCTTATTTGTGGAAAAGTTGAGTTTAAAGTAGTGAAAGAAATAATTTCTCTTAGTCTTGGTTTTCAAGTAGATCAGAAGTTGTCACATTTTTTGAATCATGGAACACTTCAGGAGAATCTTAGGTCCTCCTCAGTGAAGCACATACACTTCCTCTTTTTTTTTTTTTTCCTTAATAGAAAGTTAAAAGCCATTCAACAGTTTCTATAGGTTAAACACCTTTTGTAGATTCTTAAGATCTAGAGAAAGTCACAGATGATAGTTCTAGAACAGGTTTTTGCAAGTAATTTTATATATAGTTTCAGGGGCTTAAGAACCCAGATGAGAACCCTGGACATGGATAAAGAACAAAACTCCCATAAATGGCTTAATCAAGATTCTCTGTTATAATAATAATAATAATTTTCCATGGTCTCTTTAAAGACTAATAATTTATTTAACACATATTTATTGGGGCTGTGGCACTTACCAGGTGCTGAGGAAACAACTTTGAACAAGATAGATGAGGTGCATTCTCTCATGAACCTTACAACCCAGCAAAGAGGGTCTAATAAATAAGTAAATAAAGACCTCCAGACATCCGTTACAGAAAATTATTATCTCATTCTTGAAAGAATGGGTACAGATCACCATGTTCTAGATGAGAGGGGTGGATAGTCCCATTTGCTGTCTATATAATCTCTTTGGCAATATAAACAACAAAATCAAAGACAAGATTTTTTAAGCCCCAAAGTAGCTTGTTTATACTATTTATATTGTTTTCATTATTTATTGATCTTATACTTACCTCCTTTCCAAAAGATTTTAGAATGATTCTTTCTTTTTCCTCCTTCTCCGTTCCCAAATGGACTCTATTATAAGGAAAAGAAAAACAGGAAAATTTTATGCTAAGCAAAAGTTAAACAAAACTGCTATTGGTTGAAGACAAAGATTAGTTACGCATTCTGGAAGCCAAGATTAAAAGGAAACATGATTAAGTAACAATAAGAACTACCAGGAAGAAATGAAATGAAAGGCAAGTAGATGAAAGAAGGAAGATGGCAGAAAGGAGGGGGGAGGAAAGAAATGAAGAAATTTAACATGGTGCTAATTACCATAAATGAAGGAGCTCTGGTGGCTTAGTACCTAAGGCTTTTGACTGCTAACCAGAAGGTTGGTGGTTCAAACCCACCAGCCACTCTGCAGTAGGAAGGCTGGGCAATCCATTTCTGTAAAGATTTACCACCTCAAAACCCAAAGGGGGTCTCTATAAGTCAGAATCGACTCAATGGCAATGAGTTTATTTTTTGGTTTTAACTGTAATAATGTACACTCAGCTTTACAGCACTATAGTAATGTAAGGCCCAGAACTTTCCTGTCACAGACAAAAAGTGGGATGAAATGGAATAAATTTGCTCTATCTGTGAGGTTTCTGTAACTCTGTTCAAAGCAGTTTCATCTATTTTGTTGTTATTGTTAAGTGCTGTCAAGTTGGTTCAAGAGAAGGACCTTATGTGCAACAGAAGGAAACACTGCTCAGTCGTGTACCATCCTCACAGCTATTGCCGTGTTTGAGCTCATTGTTGCAATCATGGTGTCAGTTCACCTCATTGAGGGTCTTTTTCATTTTCGCTGACACTCTACTTGTCCAAGCATGATGTTCTTCTCTAGGGACTGGTCCCCACTTATAATATGTCCAAAGTACATGAGATGATATCTTGTCATCCTCACTTCTAAGGAATGTTCCGGCTGTACTTCTTCTGAGATGTATTTGTTTGTTCTTCTGGTGGTCCATGGTGTAGTCAATATTTTTTACCAGCACCATAATTCAAATGCATCAATTCTTGTTTGGTCTTCATTATTCATTGTCCAGCTTTAGCATGCATAAGAGATGATTGGAAATACCATGGCCTGGTCCTCAAAGTGACATCTTTGCTTTTGAACACTTTAAAGAGGTATTTTGCAGTGGATTTGTCCAATGCAATACAATGTTTGATTTCTTGACTGTTGCTTGCATGGGTGTTGATTGTGGATCCAAGTAAAATGAAATCTTTAGCAACTTCAAACTTTTCTCCATTTTTCTTGACACTGTTTACTGGTCTAGTTGTGAGGATTTTAGTTTTCTTTATGTTGAGGTTTAATCCATACTGAAGGAGCTCTGGTAGCATAGTGCCTAAGGCACTTGACTGCTAACCAGAAGGCTGGCGGTTCAAACCCACCAGCCACTCCTCGGAAGGAAGAATGGCAATCTACTTCCGTAGTGATACTGCCTCGGAAACCCAAGGAGGGGTCGCTATGAGTCGTGGGCCACGAAGGCAAACAAGAACAACAACAATGCATACTGAAAGCTGTAGTCTTTGATCTTCATTACTAAGAATGTCGAGTCCTCTTTGTTGTCGCAAGCAAGGTTGTGTTATCTGCATATCACAGGTTATTAATGAGGCTTCCTGCAATCCTCAGGCCACATTCTTCAAATACTCCAACTTCTTGGATTATATGCTGAGCATAGACATTGAATCAGTTTGGTGAAAGGATAAAGCCCTGACACTCAGCTTTCCTGATTTTAAACCAGGCAGTATCCTGTTGCTTGAATGACTCTAACCTGTACTTTGTACCACAGTGTACCAGAGAAGACAGTCTGCTGATCCTAACTCTACTTCTTCTTATGTGACCTATTTCATTGTAATAATACACATTAGGGCTGTGTCTTTGCTATAATGAAAGTGCTAACTAAGCCTGGCCTCCTTGGATATCCATGACTATAGATACACAGAGTAACTTGGATATTTTTAACATGAAAAGTTTGGCATAATATCCTTATTAACCTTTTTGGCCAGTTTAGTGAGTAGTTGGGGAATCCAGACAGCCAGGCTTCTGCAATAGCCCCACCCAGAATAGCTCCTTGTCCCAGTTCACACAGTGTGGGCCAGAACATTCTGACCCCAGCCCCGGCTGCCCTGCCTGCACCTCTCATCTCCCCCCTCTGGCCCAATGAGGATTACCATCCCCAGCCTGGTCCAGCTCTCAGTTGCCAGTGAGGGTATACTGCAAAATCAGTGTCATCTCTTCATATACTGTCTTTCATCCATCCCCAGTTTACTCCCTCTTTCCTCTTCCCTCTTTTGCTCATCACCACTTCCAGTCAAATTTCTAGATTGATATAAAAATTGATTCTTTCTAAGGTACTTTCTAGCTTTAAGATTCTTCTATGCTCTGGAAAAAAAAAATCCTTCCCCTCATATTTAAAACCTTTTCTGAAATAATGTTGCAGCATCTGTATCTTTCCCTTAATCCCCTTGAGCATTTATGCTCTTTTTCACCTGCCTGATTTCTAAAACTATAATATGCTTACTCAGATATTTTATCTTTATGCTCTGAAAAATACTGTTGAATTAGGCACAAAGTGACTTAATATCCCATCTGCCAAAATATTCACGAACTACTTGCATGGAAGGTCGTGAAACAGCTTGGATAATCTTATTTTAAGCATTGCATTAATTTTTTTGCACGTTGCTAAATTAAGACTACCAGTAATTCATTTAAAACATATTTATTGGGGGCATAGCCTTTATTGGGTGCTGAGGGGACATCTGTGAACAAGAGAGATAAAGTCCCTCTTCTCATAAACAAATAAAGAAGATAATTGCAAACAGTGATAACTACAGAGTTAAAAAAAAAATGACATGTTTGAGATGGCCAGGGTGGAGGGCTACTTTAGGTTTAATCCATTGGCATCAAGTTGATTCCAACTCAAAGTGACCCTAATGGTCAAGGCAAACCGTGCTGAATAAGTAACATTTGAATTGTGATCTGAATGACAAGAAAGAGGCAGATTTTGAAAATTTTGAGGTGGAGCATCCTAGGCGAAGAAATACCAAGTGAAGTGCCATAGGAGGGAACTAGCTTGGTATATGTGAGTGGTAGGAGATGAAGTCAGAAAAGTGGGGAAGACTAGTTAGAAGGCTGTTATGATGGCAGATAAGAGAGATTGGTGGCTTGGATAAGGTGGAGGTGGAGAGAAGTGATGGGTATTGGATGTATCTCGGCGGTAGAACTGACAAGGCCGATTGACCTTGCTGTACATCTGGTAGGAGAAAGAAAGAGGAATCAAGAATGAAATCTGAAGTTTTGGTCTCAACAGCTTGGTGTACATTGCTGTTATTTATACAAAGGTGATGTTGGAAGAGGGCTAAGTGTACAGTCCCAAGCCTATAATAATCTGAAACACCATGTTTATATTTTAGAAGGACTTAACTTGGTTCTTAGGAGCTCTGAGGGTGTAGTGGTTAAGGCATTTGGCTGATAACCAAAAAGTTGGTCTTTCAAACCTACCAGCTGCTCTCCAGAAGAAAGATGAAGCAGTTTGCTTTCATAAAGATTTACAGCCTTGGAAACCCAAGGAGGGTTGTTATGAGTTGTAATTGACTTGATGGCAGTGAATTTGGCTTTTGGTTTTAGGTTGATTTTTAGTATAAGATTATTTATACTTTTCTAACCTGGAACTCTGATCAAGGACTCTCTTGATCCTCAACACCCTTTTCTCTAGACAGAAAGAAAAGTAGTTGGACTAAGAGAAATGGAGGTGGGTAGATGGATTAAGTAGGAATGAGCTTTTCCTTCTGTAAAAGACAAGGCTGAAGAGGCCAGGAGAAACAATGGCTGCTTGTGTTCAAGCTAAGGACGACATATGAATTCTATGGTTGCTGTGATAACAGACCCTGGCTCAACCCCCAAACCTCATAATTTATAGGTTTATTAGAGAAATTCTAATACAGGTATTGATTCCATTTATTATGTACATATTTTCTTGTTCTTTGTAACAAACACATGCTTTTCAAAGAGAATAGAGTTAAGGCTTGTTGAGGCTTGGAGCCTGGTTATTTGGTTGAAAGCCCAGTCTTGACACTGGTAGAACATTGAGGTTACAGGCAGTTACTAAATTTTTCTACCTCAGTTTCTTTTATCTGTGAATGAAATGTGAATGATAATACTTAACTCATAGGGTTGTTTGAGGCTTATATACAACTGTATATGTAACTGTGTATGGTTAACTGTATATGGTAAGGGCTTAACTCTCTGTGACATGTAGACATGCATAATTTATGGTGCCTTTTTATAATGTGTGGGAGCTCTGGTGGCACAGTGGTTAAAGCATTCAGATGCTAACCAAAAGGTTGGTGATTTGAACCCACCAGATGCTCCTTGGGAGAAATATGAGGCAGGCTGCTTCCATCAAAATTTACAGCCTTGGAAACCCTGTGGGGCAGTTCTGCTCTGTCCTATAGGGTCACTGTGAATCAGAATCAACTCAATGGCATAGAGGAGTTTTTGTTTTTTTAACTTCCTGTATTGTGTATATGTGAGGTTCATGGCCCATCTTTATCCATTTTTGTTCATGCATTTCCCTTCCTGTAAGAAAAAATTTCCTTAGGTCCCAGAGGAATCCCTTATTAACAGTTAAAGGCCCTAAAGATGGTTCTTAAGCATTTTTGAAGTCAGGAATTACTTTTAGCATTGGAGAACACTGTCATCCCTTTCCCTAGGGAGGAAAACACACACACACACACACACACACACACTTAATTTTGCATCAAATCCCAAAGGGTATTGTGTAAGTACATGCTTAGTCTCATCAGACTGTATACTTACCATGAATACAGTAAAAGAAATGCATTTGTTGTACCTCAATAATAAAAAAGGAAAAACAGTAGAACAAAAATCCCTGTATGTTTTCACACTTTATGCATTCACTAAAGCCCATTCAAAAAGCCCAGCTAAGAAAACCTTTTTGGGGTGGGTGGTTGGGTGAGTTTGCAAGACAGAAATGCTGTTGCCTGCTGGTCACCCAGAAGCCACTGGCTGTCCCGCCTTCTTTGTACATTGCATAACCTCATCAACCTTATAACAAAATGGTGCTTTTTTCTGTTCACATTTTGCTAATCTCATGCCAAACCCAGCCTGCATGAACAGGGTCAAAATTAATTTCACCTTTAGATTGTACTCTCAAAATTCCATTTAACAAAACTTCTTTCTCACTTTTTCTTGCCTAAAGCCCAAGCTGCAGGCAAGAACTAGGCAGTGTGCCTGTTAGGTTGAGCTTGGTTTTCCAGATTATTATAGCATAGTGGGGATACATGACTTGGCCATACTGGGTGCCAACACCACAGTGGCCTTTTCTCCACATTTCTTTTGTCAGCTCTTTCTTCTGTCTTCCAGCTGATGCGACACTACTTTTTTTTAGTGAAGGTCACACGTAGGAGGGCAGGAACTGAAGGCTGGGGACACACTGGACTTTGCCTATAAACTGAATGGCGACAGCTGGATCACAAAATGATAATTATCAATTTATATTGCAGATGAAGTTGTTCTGAGCCCAGCCACAGAAGTGCATGCAGATATTTTATTGCATGATTTATTGGGGGTGGAAAGTAATCTCAATGATAGATGCCTCAGGGACAGTTGTGGAGCTGGTCTTCAAATGCTATCATTTTAGAAATGATGTATTTTCACCAATAAACGTTTTAGGCCAATTTTCCCCTTAGTTGATACACTGTGACCAGAAACAGCTGTAGTGAATTAGCTGCAAATGCAGCCTGAATCCATCAAGAAATAATGGCATATCATTCCAGTTTGTAAAACATGTTTCTTTAAACGTTCTATTGGGAATCTATTTGACTTTCTGTAGTCTTTGAGATTTGCTGATGTTGGCTTCTCAGAAATTTCAGTACAAGTGTACACAGAGGCTCCCTGATAAGCAGAGGCTGAGTGTGAGAATGTTCTTGTCCCCTGGTGTGCTGGATGGAGCCATGGGTGGTGCTACACATACCAGTTACTAACTTCCTTAATGCAAATACAGCTTCTTAAAAAAAAAAAAAAAAAAAAAAGATCTTCAGAACTGAGTGCAGCCTTCAAGTGAGGTAATGTTTGTTTTTTCTTATTTGTTTTCCTTCAGCTTATGGATATCTCCTCAAATAGGAAACCCAAATGCCTGTATGTATACCTTTTTTAATACTTGGGCCATTTGATAATGCTAGTATAATATGTTTTCATGCTGCATTTTACATAATATATATAACATAAATGCATCCGAGAGTTAAAATTACCTGCATGTGTGCATAATTTGTAAAATGTTGACATGACTTTTTACTCTACTAACACTATATTAGTAAATGACACTATGGTAGTACTACAAGAGTGTTTTTATATTATTATTTAGTGTAACTCTTGTATTGAGGTTTTATTGTTGTTGTTATCATTGATTTCAACTCATGGTGATCCCATGTATATGCATTGGAGAACTGCCCCAGAGAGTTTTCTAGATTGTGACCTTTTGGAAGCAGATTGCCAGGCCTGTGTTCCGAGGTACCCCTGGAACTGCCAACCTTTTGACTTGTAGTTGAGTGCTTAACTGTTTGCACCACCCAGAACTTTATAGAGTAGTCATAATAGTTCTATGGTACTATTGATGCTGTATGCTTACTAAATTTTATATAAGGGAGCTCTGGTGGTGCAGTGCCTAAGGCATTTGACTGCTAACCAGAAGGGTGGTGGTTCAAACCCACCAGCCACTCCTCAGAAGAAAGACTGGGCACTCTACTTTCGTAGAGATACAGTCCTGGAAACCCAAGTTGGGGTTGCTATGAGTCAGATTTGACTTGCCAGTAGTGAGTTTAGGTTTTTTTTTTTTTTTTTGATATATAAATCTTGAGAGTTCTGGTAGTGTAGTGCCTATGGCACTTGACTGCTAACCAGGAGGCTGGTGGTTCAAACCCAGCAGCCACTCCTCGGAAGGAAGGTTGGGCAATCTTCTTGCATTGTGATACTGCCTCAGAAACCCAAAGAAGGGTAGCTATGAGTCAGGTATGACTCAACGGCACATAACAACAACAGCAAATGTGTCTACTGTAAATCATAGACTTTGTAATATCATACTACAGATTTCTTTGAGTCCCCTACTTTCTTAAAGGGTCAGGCAATATGAGTTCTGGTCTCATCTTCTCCATAGCTCAACTATATGTATTATCCTGGGCAATCATTTAAAGTTTCTGTGCCTTGGTTTCTTGCCTGGTAAAACAGAACTTGCACTCTCTCCTTGGGAATTTAGTATCGTGAGATCATGTCATAAAGGCCACTGGAAATTTGGGAAAATAAATCCTAATATATATTATTTGTTTTACTGCTAGCATAATCACCATTGTAACAGGAAGAAACGATTGCCCCGTGAGTAGTTACTGTTCTTTTAAGCTTTTAAAGAAATCTTTCTTTCTATTCACTTCCTCCTGCTCCAACCATCTGTAGAAGCCGGGGGCACGCACATTCTGTGTGTAACCACTCTGATCTCAAGACCCATTTCCATCCAAAGGGAAGGAACTACCTGAAAAAAGCCAAGGATGACAGAGCCAGCATGCAGCCTGCTAAATCCATCCATGAACAGGCCGAGGCCACGAGAGAACTCTGCAGACCACTGAAGAAAGGGGAGCCCCTGGGGCTTAGCCGGAAAGGCAACATCAGACCCAAAATGGCTAAAAAAAAGCCAACAGCAATTGTGAACATCATCTGAAAGGGTGGGTGGCTCTGAACCACCATTGCTGGGCTTGGTGGAATGTTATTCCGGGGGCCAACAGTAACCCATAGTAAGACATGTTAGAAAAGCAACAGGGCATAATACATTTATCTTGTGTCCATACAGCAACTTTGATTAACCAGAATTTAACAAACCAGAATCTTGGTGAATCATAACTGTGTTACAGACCCCTTTTAGAAGCAAGGGGCAAATTCCAGAAAGAATGAGAAAATTAAGCAGTCTTATTCCAAGGTTGGGGTAAAACAAAGCCCCAACCTCTAAAATAATCAGCCTGGTCTCCAGTTGTCATTAATGCAGTCATCATTAACTCTCAGTCCCAGGACCACACAAGAAAATTCACCTATGGCCACTGTTCTTCTAAATTGTGAAGCAAGAAATGGGAATGTAAAATCCTGTCAATAGCCATAAAATAAAAATATTTTTGTTTGCTTTTAACCTTCAGTGGGTTTGAAAGTCCTCTGCATCAGGATTCCTGTTCCCAAGTATTCTGGTTTAATCAGCCTTCCAGTGTTTGAGTTGCTTAAGAGACTTGTTTTTCTTACTTTAAAGGACCGTTTTTCAGTTTGTTTGATTGAGGATTTTCTTTCCCTAGATGCATGTTTATTCGGAGTAGTGTGTCTCCTTTGGCTGAACATTCTGCACCCTACAAACATGGTGCCAGCTTGCATCTTAGCTGCTGCTTCTGTTGCCACGCTTGAGGACAGTACAGCCCCTCTGGCCAGCACCCCTCCAGTGCAGTGTCTGAGCAGAATGTCAGCGTATCGCACATTTAGTACTTTGTGAGCCCTCTGGAAACACACTGCAGATGTTGTCCAGCCCTTTCCACAGCCCTACTCCCCTTGCAGTGTTGGAGGACTCTGTTAGCTATGGGCTTGACCGTCTCTTCACTGGTTTAACTTTTCCACCTTGCAGCGTGCTTCACCTCCTGCTGTTTCTATGTCCTTTTATGGCTAAAATATATGGTCTTAACCTTTCAACTAAGTACCCAAATTGTTTACTGGATACTGCTTTCTAAAGTAATTTCTGAAATAAGTGGTGTACGTGGGATTCAGAATCTGAGCCCACCTCCCCACTCTCTTAAAATGGCTTGTTTCCACAGACAATTATTAAGAACCTCCTGCTTTAAGATTTTCTTCCAGAATGATTTTTTTCTTTAAATTAGCAGTATCATCAGGTCGCATTCAGAGTTCACAAATGCTGACATCCTTCTGGAAACGAGTAATTTTGTCTATAAATAAATACATACATACATGTATATAACACATAGAATATATTTGTCAGGTATATTAATAATTTATTTTTAAATACTAATGAAAAAGGTGTGTGTTTGTGGTGGGTGGTTTTTAAACTATATGTTCATGTAAATTGAATTATCTTATTTAAAAAAATAACACTGTAGCCTAATTAACATTAGTAGAATTATGATTATTACTGCAATAAGCATCAGATTAGCAGTGCATTAAAAATAGGTAATAAAGCAATTAATTAAAATGTCAGTAAATTGAAAGGTGTAACTTATACAAATATTTTGAACCTCTCATAGTGAAAATGTTGATTTTTGAATCTTCACTTTGACTTTTAGGGGTGATTCATGTGATCAAGTGGGGGAAGAACATTGCTGTGAATATCACTGTTAGGCTAACATTATAAAAATTGTAAAAATTATTTATTTGGAGAATTAACCTACTCCAGAGGTTATTTATTATTGATGTTTATGCCATGATTGCACTTTATCCTTTTACACACGGGGAAAAAATCTGTTGGTTGTGTTGCATGCTCTTTGTCCTGTGATGTGTGTGCGGTTGATGACAACTTGGTTTGGAAAATGGGTATAGCCAGACTTTTTGTTGACTTGTTTTATTTAACCTAATTGACATTTTCAGGTTTTCCTTTCTCTCTCTCTCTCTCTCTCTTTTTTAAATATATGCCTGGAGGGCAAGACAGCCCTCTTCTACAGTGGTACCCAGTGATCTTCAGAAAGGACCATAATATCACATCTACTCCACATGTGTTACATAAGATAAATGATTTCGAGATTTATTATATTAAAAAAAAAAGTCATGTTCCAGCTACATTTTGATCTGCATAAAAGGAAAGATGCATGTTGTCCTTCCTTAGAAGCTACATTCTGATCCACAAAAAAGGAAACATGCATGTTGTCCTTCTTTAGAGACATAAATTTGCTATTGAAATATAGGAGCTAGCTCACTCTAAGGGATACTCCATGTACATGCCGTGACATGAGCCAGGTGCCATGTCCCACTTTGTGTCTTATTTCTACATTTTTTCTTTGAGCACGTGGGTGGTAGACTTTAGAGTTAAGGATGTTGCTTCTTGGAAGAAATTGCCAAAGTTTCTGGGAAGACTAGTTCAAAGTTAAAGTGAAGAATAGATCAAATTTTATTGTTTGTTTCATAAAGAAGAAATCTTCATTTGAACTTTCTTTGCCCTCCTCCTCCAAAACTAGGTTACAGATTATTAATGGCAAAGTTCAGATTGCTTAGTTTGTGTTTTCCAGTATTCTGCAGGGCCAGTCGGTTGTACAGAACTTGGACATTCTATTCCCAGAATTTAAAAAAGTTTTTAGATTATGAAATATTCTAATAATAAAGCTATATTTCTGAGTTATGTGTTGGTATGTTTTTTATCTGGTTGAAGTGTTCACGGGGAGCCGAGAATGACCAAATGGTCCTTCTTAAATACACTGTTGTGTATATAATCACCATGATCTGGTATACCTATAAGCTTCCTGGAAAACTTAAGCCTGATCGTTTTTGTTTGTCATAATGCCTGTATCTACAAGTTCTTTTTGCATATGTTCACTCTGATAAGTCCTCATTAAAAGCCCATTTGGCAGTTTGTACCCATCTTCCTCCACAGCCATGAGTAATTTTCCAACACTATATTTTTAAACCTGTCAACTCTGCAAAAAACTATACTGAGTCATTTCACAGTATATATTCCAACCTATATATGCTATATATCCTAGTCATTATGATGCCCAGGTAGCCTATTAGAATAGATAACAGAAAGGCATCACTGATAAAATTGTGTCTTTTAAGTACCGTGGAATCAGGAAAATTTGTGCAGGAGCTGTTAGAACTTTTGGGAAAATAGTGGACTGCTCTTAAGCTTACTTACTTCTGTTAGGGTTAATGGGTTCAGCAGGTGGTAATATTTTTGAAAAGTAGCTGTGATATTCTCTATTATGTCTGGGCATTAGTAAACAAATTCTAGTATCTTGATTCTGCTGTCTGGGTCCTTGAAAAATGAATTCCAGGAATGGCACACAGGATCTCAAACGTAAGCCTTGCAGCAATTTCAAGCATTTAAATGATGAGAATTTTTGAAGTTGAATTCCTTTCTGTTGAATTAAGGTGCTGGGATTTTTTTCCTTTTTTTTTTTGGTCCATATTTCTGTATTAGTAAAATTAACATGTTGGAAATTGTCATTTTAAAAAGGGATCTTCAAACTGTAATGCTGTGGTAGATTTACTGTGTCTTTGCAGCTGCTATTCCAGGACTGAAATGAGTTTTTCCACTAAAAGAACCTCATGTATAGTCAGGGTAGGCTCACTGATATAATGATGCAGTGGAGGCTGGTGCCTAGGATGGTGAATGAGAATTTTGTACCCATGACCTGTGGGAAGAGAGAATGCCATCACTGTCCTCTAATAGCTGAAGGATTGTTACATGAAAAAAGTGTATGTGGCTGCAAAAAGCATTCATGCTATCAGTGAGAAAAAGTTCCAAGGAAGTAGGTGTCAAAGCATTGTATGAAAAAATGGCTTACCTTGTGAAACAGTGATCTCCATCTCTAGAGTTGCTTTTGCTTTTCTGGTAGATGGGAGTATATTTTGGGTAGAGAATTGGACTGCATTGTTCTAAGAATAGTTTTACACCTGGAATTCTGTCCTATGCACTTATGCTGCATTGTAAATGCTGGCCACATAAAACTTGGTGTTGGTGTGACCAATTTTGAAAATTTTATTTCACTTACTTGGACATTTCAAAAGGTTTTTGTAACACATATTCACAATTTATCCTCATAGAATCCGTTTTGAGGTACGTATGAGCAGGAGGTATAGATTTCTCTTCCCAGGTGAAGAAACAGCATCTGGGAAGATAGGAGCTGTTCATCTGGCACTGTTGCCTGAGTCAGGACGTGTGCTTCTTGGAATAGAAGCATCACACCTCACCGAATGTGGTTTTAATGTTTAAAGCGGAGGTAACGTTTTTTGTTTCAGCATGGCTCCTGAACGCAAGCCAGCCACTTCATCTGGTGTTCGCTTGAATCAACACCAGTTCTTTCCAACACTGTCGGGGGGAGGGGTGGAGAGGGAGGAATCGGCTGTGTTGGACTTAGTGAGAGATAGTGTGCAGTGTGTCACGCTTCAACATAGTGCCTTCCTCAGCCGTTTTCCAGGTAGTCCTGATTATACTTTTGTCTTTCTTGTAATAGTACTTAAGAAGGTGACTTCACTGTATTTTGCAATGAAAATGATGGTTTGAAAAAGTTGTGCTGGGCCCAAGAGCCCTTTCTTCAGAGAACCAGGCTGAGAACCAGAACGCTGTCTTCCTGAATCTCAGCCAGTGCCATTCTCACGACATGCTTACTCACTGAAAAAAAGTTCCAGAAAATGGCCCTGAATACATGCATTCGTTGATTATGCAGAAAGAAGTTCTTAATTTTCTAAAAATCAGTTTAATATTTATTTTCAATCATTTCACTTAGTTTATGCAAGCACTGTGGGAGATAGAAATGTTACCATCCTCCCCCCGGTAAAAGACTCACACCAACTTGCCAAGGAATTCCAAAGATTCAGATCTAACTCTATTGAAGTTTAGTGTACACATTTTTGGTCACTTCACACTGGCGGTTCATGGACTGACAAGAGTGACACTGCATTTGCTATGGTCACATACAGCAGAGCGAAAGAGAAAACAGACCACCTCTGTCCCTCCTCTGTCACTCCTCTTCCCAATTCTAATCCCTTTGTTCAAGACAGAAACTCTACCGCCCTCATTTGTAGGAATGCAATATTTTGTTATTATTTTTTATCCCTATTTAAGATGGCCTGCAATTTGACTCTGTAGCTGTAATTTCTCATATACACTCAGCATAGAGGGAACCAGGATTCTTACAAGGTGAGGGATCCCCTAGCATAAACACAAAGGAGCTCACAGTAGGTAAGGGCAAATGAGTGGACACACACATAGTGGG